CTGCTCGCCGGGCTGGTGCCCGACCAGTTCCAGATGTGCCGGAGGAACCTGGAGGTCATGCACAGCATCGTCCGGGCTGCCCACCAGACCAAAAGCGTCTGCCAGAAGACCTTTGCAGACATGAGGTGGAACTGCTCCTCCATCCAGCGTGCCCCCAGCTTTGGCCCTGACCTGCTGAAAGGTAAAGGTTGCTTCGTCCGCTGCGTTTGTGCTCCTCCTTCCGCTCCGCGTAGCCTTTAGCCCTGACCTGCTGAAAGGTAAAGGTTGCTTCAGCTGCTGCGTTCGTGCTCCTCTTTCTCCCCCACGTAACTTTCCAGGCAGGTAGCGCTTTACATACAGTGCTGCTGCTCAGCTGGTGGGTGATGGGTGTCAATTTTGGAGAAACTTGCTGCCATTACGCTGGTGTTAACCCTATGCAGCTTAGATCTGCAGGAGATGAGGGGCAGTAACTTCCATTTCAAACAAAAACAGGGGCTAGAGGCTCCAGAAAAAATGGAGAAGAGGTGGGGATGCAGGCTGTGTACTGACAGCATAATATAATGGGTGGCACAGGTTAAAAATACAGCGCGAGAAAAACGCTGGGCCTTGGTTTTATCCTGTTGCACGGAAAAAAATCCCTCATTTGCATTGTGAGATCTTTGAGAGGAGTGTTTGGCTGGGCAGGGAGGAAGGAGATCTCCCCCTCTTCTTCCCAGGAACCCGGGAATCCGCCTTTGTCTACGCCCTGGCTGCTTTCCCCCCCCGGCCTGCACCCGCCGTCACGCACTCCATCGCCCAAGCCTGCACCTCAGGAGAGCTCCCTCTCTGCTCCTGTGGCTCCGTCCCCTCGGAGGTCCCCGGGCCGGATTTCAGATGGGGTGGCTGCGGGGACAACCTGCGCTACGGCCTCCAGCTCGGCGCGGCTTTTGCTGACAGTCCCTTAAAATCCAGCAAGCTGGGGACGCAAGCGCTCAAGGCCATGAATCTACATAACAACGCGGCAGGGCGGCAGGTGGGTACGGTGCCCACCACGACTGCTGCAGCCCAGCGCATCTTACAGAACCCCGGGGGGCTGAGGTGCCTAATGTAAGGCAGTAAACTCCGGCCGGGCTGTTGGGATGCTGTCCTTAAAGTCAGGAGGCGACTAAATGGTTAAAGTGGAGTTGCGTGTGCTTGCAGAAATCCCCCGCTGCTACCCTCCCCCAAACACCCTTTCCACAACCAGGGCAAGATGTTTGCCACTTCGCACCAGTACTTCCAGTACTTTTTTCCACGGGAGCAGACGCCCGTCCTGCCCCGCTCCAGCTGGGCTCCCCAGGGTTTGTGCTTTCATGCACTCCTGTTCCCCAGGTGAGGACGTGGCCATCCTGCACCCACAGGGGCTAGGGAAGCCACCAGCCCCACTGCAAGCTCCAGCGGGGAGTTCCCCAAGGGTTAGGTTCTTATCACAAGGGGAATGAAGCAGGGCTGGGTCCTTGATTGCCCCATTATATTCATTTAAAGGTGGCAGTAAGCAGCTGAGCTCTTTCATCTCTTAAAACTTCCCATGGATGCTCTTGCAAATCACTCGGTAGGGCGGGTACCAGGAGAAAGCAGGAGCAAACTTGTCTCTTTTCCTGTCTTCTGCAGGTGCTGAGTGACTCCCTGGATACCAAGTGTAAATGCCACGGTGTTTCAGGCTCCTGTTCCGTGAAGACCTGTTGGAAGGGACTGCCAAACCTGGGCGAAATCGCCTCTGACCTCAAGTCCAAGTACCTGGCAGCCGTCAAGGTGACCCACCGGCTCGTAGGGCCCAGGAAGCAGCTGATACCCAAAGACATGGACGTCAGGCCCATGCAAGAGACGGATCTGGTTTATCTCATCAGCTCTCCCGACTACTGCACGCCGAATCTCCACCTGGGGTCTCTGGGGACACAGGATAGGTAAGAAACTGCTGCAAATACGCTCTAGCTCAGCCTCCCGTTCCACGAGTGTCTGTACTGCTGGGTTTGAGAGCATGCTCCGGGAAGCTGCTGTGGATGGGTGGACCCCGTTAGATAGGGGGGATATTTCGCACAGGGACTGATGCGAAATCTTTGCATCTTTACGTCCCAAGGAGGGCAGGAAGGTAGATATTATTTTTACAGAGCTATGCAGGTGTAAAGGCAAGGGAGAGCCCTCACGGAGAGTCTGTCAGCTCCACTCCCCAGGACAGGATTCATCCACTGAGGAGTCAGAAAGGAAAATACCATCTCTCCCTGCAAGCCTTTGGGTGCTGCCTGCCAGTAACCAGAACGGTTTTCAGCAGTCCTTGGAGTCTGCGGTGCTTCCCAGATGTCTCCTTCCTGGAGCGATTGCAGGGCGGGGGGGAGTTTTTAGAGGGATGGGGAAGCCTTGCCTGAAGGCTGAGCCAGGGCTGCCTCAGGGCTGTGACTTGCAATCCCTGTTAGATTTAGCAGTAGCAGAAGTTCCCGGTCCCAGCCATCCGCTTTTCCTTCTCCATGGGAAGTTCCTGCCCCCGGCGTGATACAGAGCGAGCGTGCCCAGCCTCAGCCACGGCTGCTCAAACACTGCCATAGTAACGTGAGCTGACATCAGCCCCGGTCTGCAAGCAGACCCCTGCATCTCGCTGCCTCCTGCTACGGGCACGTAAGCGCTGGGAGGAGGCCAGGGCAGAGAGCTGTGGTCCTCACCATCGCCATGGGTGGGCAGGTATGCTCCTGCAGCTCCCGCTTGTGCGTCCTCCCCTTGACAGGCAATGCAACAAGACCTCCGTGGGCAGCGACGGTTGCAACCTGATGTGCTGCGGCCGCGGCTACAACGCCTACACGGAGGAGGTGGTGGAGAGGTGTCACTGCAAGTATCACTGGTGCTGCTACGTGGTGTGCAAGAAGTGTCGGCGGAAGGTGGAGAGATACGTCTGTAAATAACGCCAGAGGCGTCACGGCAGGCGGGAGGACTCTTGCGCTGGTCTCCTCCGGGGCACAGCTGGAGACCGAACGCCAACCGCAAGGGATGCTCGGAGCTACGGCAAGAAGGGGGCTATGCGGGAAGCCTGGACTTTCGCATTACCACGGAAGACCTCAAACTGAGAGATGCCGGGAAGCCTAAGACCGGGGGCCGACCTCTGCTCCATCGCTCCAGAGCAAGACAAAGGGCTGCCCTCCTGCAGCGGATCGGGAGCGTCCAGCCCTCTGTCTCCAGCTGGGGACGAGCCATTTATCACTCTGCATGCACAGGCCCTTTTCTCCAGGGGTGAATGGGGACCCTGGGCTGCCATTGTCTCTTTGCAGGAGGTTTCTGACAGTGGCCTGAAAGCCAGGAGTGATGGATGGGAAGGGGGGTAGAGAGTTGCCCATTGGGAGAAGGCTGCAGGGGAAGAAAGCTGCTTCAGGTGAGGGGGTCACAGGCGGCTATTTTGGGGGTAGGTTTCTGCTCTGGGCTCACCCAACACCACTGAATGTTCCTCCTCAGGGGCAAATACTGGTCCAGTGCCCTTTGCAGCATCTGAAACGAAGAGCAGGCCTGGACAAAGGCAGAACAAGTTATCGCTCCAGGAGGCAGAACTCATCAATCCTCCCCATGACCTGCACGGAGACTGCCGCTGCTCTCACAGTAACGAGCCTTCGTCTTTGACTGATGATGGCACACAGACCTAGGGACAGGAGCGGTCCCAGGGGCTGGCAAAGCAGGGCAGCGTGGCAAAACTGCACCTAGCAGCCTTGTATTGAGGCGGCAGCCATGGCAGCACTGCAGCTTCTGCCCTCTGGGCTTGGGTTGGAGGTAGAAGCCCACTCAACGCGTGGCATACTCATGGCTTGTCCTTCCTGCTCCTTCTTCTAGACCACTAAGGTCTTCAGACCACTCCTTCCACCCCCTTAATACCAGGTGTGCTGGCACTCTGGCCTGGAGAGAGGACACGACTTCAGGGCCCTTGGGAAATAAGAACGAGCCTTTAGCCTCTATACTTCATGTAAGTGGGATTCTGGTGTGTGTTTTTTAAATAAATGTGTTATCCTGTACCTTTCTGTGACATGTTTCCTAGGACAACCTCCTTCCTCCATCTCCTCCTCAGCTGGCCACAGAGAAAGCGAGGCTGTAAGGAGAGCGTAAAGTCCCATGTCCGTACCCTTACACGCAGCGGGGGACCAGTTCGGTTTTAACTCTTTCTGCTGCTCGTTGGCCCAGGTTTGCCTTTAATTACAGATATCTGTCAGCCTCAGCTACTGTGCACACAAGGAAAACCTGTCGGAAGGTTTCTATCGCCCGCTTCCTCAGGTTTCTGAGGAAGGAAGCCAGCAAGGAATCCGGCTTCCTGGGATTCAGCACTGGTGGCTGGAAACTGAGGCAGTCTGGGATTATTTTCTGATCCTTGTGAACATGGGCTGGACTAGCCAAGCGTGTGTGTCGGGAGCCAGGGGAGGGAGCTCTGATGGACCCCATTTCCCCTAGTGTGGGAGCTGGCTGAGCGCTTACATGGGATAAGGGATTCCTGGTTATGCAGCCTTTGGAGAGAAAGGATGAGTCTAAATACACAGGTGCTGAGGAGAACCCGCAGCACAAGGAGGACAGGTAAACGTGATGGAAATCCTAGGGCAATTTCCTGCAGCTCACACCATGACCTTGAGACTCTGGTGGCTTTGCGTGCGCCTGGGTTTATTTGTGGTTTGCATTGAATGGAGTTGGCCACGTCCAGCCCCGAGTCCAGCTGTACGATTACTCATTTCCATATTCATTCCATCATTTTCAATAGCCTCTGCTGGGTCATGGAATCAATTCATGAGCTTTTATTGTAAACCATCCCCTCCACTTAATGTGCTCCAGGTTTCTGTATGAACAGTAAGAGCCGAGAGTCAAAGGTGGTTTGAGACAAGCCTGGGAGCTGGAAGTTGAAATGCTTGGGGGTGAAGCATATGCTCCCACAGTTAACCAAGTGAGTTAACTATCATTATCAGTTGTTAATGTGCCATTGACTTGATCTGGCTGCTGACATCTAGCCTTCCCAGAGTGACAGTAAAGCCACAGCTGCAAGGCTTCGGTCACAGCTGCCGAAGGCCAAAAAGCTATCTTGAGTTTTTCTTTTAAAATGCAATTAGGGGTTAGTCACTGGCATTCCTCAGAAAAGGGAGTCTTCAGCTGCCAGGCTGTAAAATATCTGCAGTTTCTGTGTCCAGAGCCAGGCTGAGTTGAGAGGTGGTGCAGGTACTTAATTAGGAGGATTGCTTAAATACCTTCCCTATAGCCATCATCTGCGCATTGCCAGATCAGAGGGAGGTGAAACCGGGAGGGGCTGTGAACTCTGCAGAGCATTGCAAAATGAGCTGGTGTTAGAAAAAAAACAGGGGAAGGATCTGGTGGAGTGAGAGATTCAGCCAGGAGGGTGGGAAATGTGATTTGCATTTGGTAACTACAAACACACATAGCCTGGGGTAGAGGAGAGGAGCCACAATAGCTAGGAATGCCCCATGGAGATGTCGTGATCCCCTCCTAGAGAGGTTCCATTTGAATTTCTGCCTGGGAAAAGGCAGGGTCAAGTGCTGAATATGCAGAGTCCTCTCCTCCTCCTCCTCTTGCTCCTTGCATCTTGACTGCAAGCTCAACAGGGAAGAGCTGGGAAAGGACCGGAGGGGTCAATCAGCAGTGAGGACCTCGGGCTCTGTTTGTGTCCTGCGGGAAATTGGAAAGCACAGTAATTAGTCAAAGGGTGCAAAGGGTCAGGCTGGCAGGAAGGACGATGGTGGGGAGGTGACAGGTAAGTGACAATGCTCAGAGTGGGAGGTGTCGTAATCTGGGCCCACACCTGGATTCACAAGGCTGGTGAGATCTGCTGCACTGGAAGAGTTTCCCATGGACCAAGAGCCAGAGCAAGGCAGTTGGCATCAGATGATGGATCCAGAGGGAATAAACCCTGTGCTTGGTCCCAAGGGTTGAGGGGATCCACCTGATGAGATGCATTTTCTCTCTCTGCCCCTGCTTGGGCAGAAAAGCCAGCAGGAAGGTGCCAGGGGAACACGGAGCCCCTTCACCCCACCTGGGCTAGCACAAGCTCCCTCTGAGGTAAAAAATGGGAAAACTTGGACCCTGATATCACCCTCCAGTGGCTTCCAGCACCAGTCAGTGCAACCCTCTGCCAGAGAAATTGGTGCAAGAGGGCTTTTCTCTAACCCTCTACACCTTTGCTTCCACCACAAACATCTCCAGCTCTGGCAGATGGCCCTTCAGGACCTGCATAAACCTGGGCAAGGACAGTAGCGGTGTCCCTGAAAGTGAGAGCATCTCTGCAACAATTGTGGCTTCATAGCCCTTCAGACACTTCCTCATGCGTTTCTTTTGCCCCGCTTTCACAATCGGTCCTCTCCAGACTGCGGTAGGCTGCTGTCATTACCCTCTCCTTCACGAACCCTCGCCAGGCTCACTGCTAATGTGACGGATCTACCTCTTTGACTTTCCTGTCATTAGCCATTTTTCCTGATGTCTTGTGGCTTTTTGTTTATCTGTCTCTCTGGAAATGAGACTCCCTGGAGCTGAATTCTCCACGGCCGTGGCAGAAGTCTTTCACTTTCTGGAGCTGTGAACTGACATGAGAGAGGTGGCTCTAAAAATGGATTGCGCGCAGAAGAAAACCATCCCTCTACATGAAATGTGGTGAGAACCAGGCAAGGGGTTTGCTATGGAAAGCCTCCTCTTGGTGACTGCTCGATTTTTAATTTGGGCTTGAAAGGAGTAACACTGGTATGAATGTGATCGTTCCCTGCTGGTTAGACTTGTGCAGACAATGAAGTCTGGAGAAAGGAGAGTGATTTTCATGGACTCTTTTGACTTTGCTGCCAAAGCACTGACAATTTTTTCCCCTTTTATTTCTTTATTTATTGAGGGATGCTGCAGAACTTATTCCAGGAGGATAATCTGAGCAAGGGAAACAAGCTGTCGGTAACCAAGCAAGCATTTTGGAGGAAGAATGACTCTGTGTTCAAGAACATGTTGGGATATTTCTTCCGTTCAGCCCTGGATCGCAGCTCGGACAGGACCATGGGTCAGGACTTCCACCTGCTTTTTGCTTGTGCTCTTCACAAAGCAAGCTGAGCCAGAGCAAGAAGGCGGCACGGGATGGGGCCGCTGTCTGGGGGCTCAGCTGTTGATCAACATCTGTACTGATGTAAATATTTGGGGGATGTTGCTTTGACCTTTGGGACGGTTGGTGCCTACACTATCACACCGCAAGACACAAACATGAGTAAATGCTTGTACTTAAGGAAAAACCCTTGCATCTCTGTTCTCCTTTATTTCTGGGGTGTTCAGCAATATCATCATGTCCTAAGGACAATCCCTATTATTATTTGTCATCCTTATGGGGATCTTCAGCTGAGGGACAGGGACAAATCAACATAGGTGAGTAACAGCCATAAGACCAGAGGGGGAACTAGGCTGCAGACTGAGGGCCCTTGGGCATAGCTTGAAGGACAGTTGCAGCAATGGCTGTGTGAGGTTCCAGGGGGAAGCAGACCTCCATCCCTTCTCCTAGGCTGGGCAGGCTGGCATCCCTTCCAGCTCTGAACCCTGTATTTCAGCAAGTTGCTCAATCAGAGTGGAAAAGTCCCAGATACCGCAGGTTTGTGGTATCCCCATCACATCCGCAGAGGCCAGGAGGAGCAGGGTGGCATTGCTGAGCACCCTAGTCTCCCTTCACCAGCCCATATTTCTCCCTCTCGCTTGCTTAAACTCATCCACGGTCCGTGCGGGCAGCATCCTGGAGGCTGCTCACGGTGGGCTTTTCGAATCGCCTTTCTGCCACTACAGAGAAGATGCAGTGGCCTTCTTGTTGAATCACTAAGTAGTAGCACCTTCCCTTTGTGCATCCCTGGGGTGACTGCCTCCAAGGTCCGTCAGAAAGTGAGTTAAAGCAGGGAGGGACCTGCAGAACAGTCTCCTC